GATGCAACAAATCCTTCCGTTTACATATTTTTTTAGTAAGATTTCAATCTGGCCATCGCTCGTTTCCAATTGATAAACGTCAAAACCTACTGAACTCGATTAGCTGTCAAAGTTCAGTAGGTTTTGACGTTTAACAATCGCTCTCTCACTTCTAGTGAGAGAGGAGTTAAACATCTCTTTATCTCTGCTACGCAGTGAGTTTATCCTCTAGCTAGTCTTGGTACCCCGATTTGTGAACGCCATCTGTTAAGGGTGAACTTGGTAGTGAGTTTATCCTCTAACCAACTCCACCTTTAACATCGCGGTCGCTAACGCAGTCTTCCGTGGTCCGATAACTTTACGCGACAAAAGTGGTTTTATAGGATATCGTCAGTGAAGCCTACACGAGCGCCGGCAGAAGCAGTCGAGCTTAGTCATCGTAGCACGCGAGTGCCAACGTTCATACCAGGACAGCGTCATTGAAGCCTACAGGAGCGTGGTCTTCGTAGCATGCGAGCGTCAACGTGTACGCCAGGACATTGTCATTGAAGTCTACACGAGCGCCGGTAGAAATAGTCGAGCGTGGTTGTCGTAGCACGGGAGCGCCAACGCACGCCGCATCGTAAGCGAAGCCTACGCGAGCGCAGGCAGATGTAGTTAAGCGCCTTAGGACAGAGCAGCAAGTCGTCTAGTACCCGGGAGCACAGCAGAGCGGGAAACGGTATTGCCCTAACGGACCACACTAAACCGTTACCCTGACAGCACTTCCCTCGGGCGACAACATTACAAGGCGGGGACAATTTTGTAATTTTAATTAAAAATATAATATTAGGTTGTCAAAAAAGTCTTGCGGTATTTTTATTGAATTTTCAATTGTTCATAAAATTTTTTTTGATGACTCATGCCCAGCTCTTGACCGATGCCACGGCTGCTACTATGCCGGTCTCTTTCGGCCAATTCAGCGATTTTATTTAAAACAAAATAAAGTACGATTCGCAAAAAAGCCCCAATGTTTAAAAATTTATTGTAACGAACCATGGATACGGCGAGTTTACCTCAGCAAGTTATACTTGTAAGAAGAAGGTTCAGCAAAAAGATTCGTTACATCATCTTCATCAAATCCCTTTTGGCCTTATTATTAAATCTTTAAGAAGTATTTTTGTTTCTTTTTTAATAAACTGTATTTGTGCGAATTCTCCCCTTAACGGTTGTGTTGTAAGGCAAGGCACTATCTGGTTCAGCAAATGCATCAATATTTTTACTGATTATTTGCCGAAATTGTGCTTGGAGTTTTACTGGAACTGAATTTTCTTCTATTGTTATTAATTTTACTTGCTCACATGGAAGAAAGTTTAATTTTTCTTTACCGTTTCCTGCATCCTTCAACAGAATCGATTTTAGCATCAATATGCTTTAAATTCTAATTCTTCCGGCATAAAAGTTACGTTTTGCAGTAGAATGGAACTTTTCGAAATTTCATTTATAGATTGTTTGCATATTCTGATTTGGATGCTGTGGTTTAGGAATGTATTTGGGTGTAGGTTGATTCTGCTGAGTGCATAGTTTCGGAATACTATTAGGCTGTCGGTAGTAACTTTTATTGCTATCGAATTTATTGGGGTTGGTTTATTAGGATTTGAATTGGAGCTAACACCTGCATGCGGTCCATTATTGTAATATATTTGTTTAAATTGAGACGTTACCGGCTTTTTGAATTTATAAGTATTTCCAACTGCAAGAGCAGTTGGAAGGTCTTTGGGTCTGGAAGAAAAAAGTATATCGCACAATGGACGTCGAAGTCATGATATGAAGACGCGTAAGGCGTTTTCTCTAGCGCACTCATTTAAAGTGACAATAATATCTTTATTTCCGCTATACGTCATGATTTGTTTATTTATGATAAGTGTTTTTTCATAACTTTTTGTCCACCTTATTATAATAATGAGTAATAGAAGGACTATCTTGTCTAAGAATACTTATGTAGCTCTTTCTCCAAAACCTAAACAAACCTTTATCAGCATATTCTTGATCTAGTCTAGCTAAATTTGAGTAAACTGTAAAAAAAACTGTATTAAAAGACGCGAGGGTGGTATTTGCGGAACTAATAATTTTGTAATTTTGCGATGTAATATTTTTCCGAGCCCTCCGAGTAGTAATTAATGGCGAATTCTGTTGCAGTTCGCCAAGCGGGATAAGAACCAGAACGTCGACTAAATTCAGTTGTTTTCTGCTACTAATGGATTATTTGAAACGGGTACTTATTTTTCAACGCCACGTGGTTGCAACTGACATTTTTATAATTCCCAAAGGGGCTAGTAAAGAAAATTCAGTAAGTTCCGTTTCTAGTTGTTGAAATTATTTAAGATCTGTTTTTTTTTATAATTAATACAAACTTTTTATAAGTTTTATGACTGACACTAAATTAATTCAAATATCAGAAGTAATATTCCTTCTGTAACACTATATTTAACATGTGTCCTTTTTTGAGGTTACTAAATAGCACTATATTGCACTTATACTTTTTAAGATTATTTCTTTGAACGCTAACCTTTTCTTCGAAAAAAAAGTATGATACAAGGGAATTTTATGCAAACTGCGATTTATTTGAATTGGAAATTAGATTCCTTTGAAACCACTCATATAGCACTCTAATAAATTGTAGATTTTTTATAATTAATATATTTTTAAATAACCACTTGGAAATTGTTTAAATAATCACTTACACTTTTAAATACTTCTATTTAATTTGTTGTTTCGTAGTCCGTCGGGATTCCTTATGCTCTTCCGGTATTTGTGGGTTTCTGGTGATTTAGAAATCCAAATTTTCATGGTACTTTGTTGTTTTTGCAAGTCCTTGGCTTTTGAGTTTTACGCCAGTTCAACACATAATTATTTTATTTAGAAACTTTATTTGTGATGTTAAGAGTTCCACGTTTACATTACATCTGTCTTAACTATGTATGCTAAAGCAAAAGTATATATTTCGCTGCTTTTCTATATTGGTGCAGCAACAATTTACTTGTGATATTTACCAACGGTAAAATATCGTTGTTGCTATGCGATCTTACTCTTCAGGTGATCTTGCTGTTAGCAGCTTTATCATTGCGAGAGTATTGATGTGCAACTGAACGTAGTTAGCATTCCAGCATAAAGAGCCCAGCATAAACGTGCGTAACATTCAAAGCTATATATGTTATGTTAGCTGACCAATTCCTCTTATGTTAGTTGTTTTCTTAACTAAGGTTAACTTATATAAGGTTGTCAAATATCTCTCATCCGCTTTTTTGCTCTTTATTCAATACTTTATAAAACGTGTTACAGTTATCGGATTTTGTTCAAAAATGCGTGGTTTCGTTCGATAAGCTGTTTCCACTTCTAGTTCTAGATAGCAACTTCATAGTACCCCCTTGTAGAAGCCCTTCCTTATTTGCGAAGAACTTGGTCAGCCACTTTTCACAAGCCTCTTTTGAGTTCAACAGGGAGCACGTGACACTCACTTGGCGCTATGTGCAGGCTATATATGATGTAATAAAACCTCCCATTCGAGTGTCCGTAGCTTCTGACGAGTTATCAACGAGTTAGAATGTGTGGTCTGGCGTTGTCCTGGTGGAACACCACACCCTTCCTGTTGGAGACTTCTGGACGCTTCTGGTCGATCGCCTGCTTTAAGGGGTCAGTTTTTCTCAGTAGATGGTAGTATTAAGCGTCTGCCCATATGGGAGCAGCTCATAGTGGATGATTCCCTTCCAATCCTACCAAACACACAGCAAAACCTTCCTGGCCGTCAATCCCGGCTTGGCCACTGTTTGGGATTATTCACAAGCCTTCGACCACGACCGCTTTCGCTTCACTTTGTCGTATGTGACCTATTTTTCGTTTTCAGTTACCACCCGCTTCAAAAATGGTTTGAGTTCGTTCGCAGCATATCGGTGGCGTTGATTCGGCCCAGAAGGTTTTCTTTGCGTCAAATCATGCGGCACCCAAACATCACGCTTGTTTGTGTATCCAGCCTTCTGCAGATGGTTTAAAATGGTTTGGTTTGGACGAAGTCACGAGATGCCATATGCCGGTCTAGCTGGATGTTTTCTATGACTTGATCGGCTTACCCATGGTGTTGTTTTCACCCGCTCTGAATCGTCGAATCCATTCCTCCGCAGTTCGAAGTAATAGAGTACCATCCCCCAAAACAGCGTTAATCTCACGGAACGTTTCTCTAGCTAATTCGCCTTTCACGAAGTAAAACTTAAAATAGCGCGAATTTCGGCGTTAGTGGACCCCATGTTTACAAGTCTATAATTGTTTAACGCAATATCCAAACTAATCTTGCATAGCGTCATTTTTTAGGTTCGGTCAAGACCTTTCATAGATGTATGGTATTGCCAGATACGAGCTCTGTAGTGCTTTATACATAGGCGCGAAATTCAAAAGACAAAAAGACAGATATTTGACAACTTATTATAATATATTTAATCAATGTCGCAGTCCCCAATTTCAAAAGCAGTGCAACTTTTGCAACCGATGAACCCAATCAAAATAAAACTATTGCAGGTTGTAGCACTACTGAAAACTCTTTACTCTTGTCGTGTTATTTTAAATCAATGTTAGAAGATGAGTAAATTGTGACCGATTTACTCGTAACATTTGGCGGAAGCGATTCTCATCCATGGAAGTCAGAATATTTTCACACCAATGGTGTGCACAGAAAAGTTAACTGCAGGGGCGAAAATCGGTATATTTCGTAGATGTTATGAAAGCACTTGCACAGCTCATTAAAGTTAAGTGAAAGAACTTCTTAAAGTCAATACACAATTGGACAAGATAGTAACTAAGTTAAAAGTACGCATTGACGTAGAATTTAAGTGACATATTTTTAGAAATGTGAATTGAATAGAGTGTAGAAAACATAAAATACAAAACATTACAGTTGATGAAATACACTCAGATAAAATAATTAACTGATATGCCCCAACGTCCCAATACATGTACTTCCCATGCCATACACACTACTTTTGGATACTTACAACCTTCGAAAATTTGCGTCGTCTCCTTTATTACCGAAGGCAGATACGGAATCATTGGAAAAATCCAATATATTGGTAGGAATCCATCCTTCTTTGCAATTTTCAGTTGAACCAAATAATCTCACATACCACCTATGAAATAATCACTTTTAAATATTTGGTAACTTAAAATATAATTTAAATAGTATAGTATGTACCTCAAGTTAAGCTCTGGTTTAAAGTCACGTAATTTCTCTCTGAAATTTATAAATTTTGTATTATTTAATATCTCATAATTTTTCATGTACCTCGAAAACGTATCGCCCTCAGTTGTTTTTATAATTTCCACTAGATCTCCTCTAGATAATGATATTGAATCGGGTGAGTCCGCCAAAAAATCTTGATTTATTACTAGAATGTTGTCAATCTAAAATGAATTAAATTTTAATAAAAATGAAGTTCGTTTTCCAGTTTTCTAATTCACGTATACCAATTATTTATTTATCTTAATTAAATTCACATTAAACGCTATTTTCAAATCGATAATATTTCACTGTTACTTCTCTAAATTTTGTAACATAGTACACATTTTGATTATCAGAATACTGTATTTTAACTCAATAAACAAACCCAATAATACCAACAGTAAATTCTTTGTATAGTGTCAAACTTCAGAAAAATTTATCTTATACATACATCAAATTGAAACGCTATTTAGTTATGTGCCCGCATAAGGTCCGGACCACACCACGAAAAAACTAAAAAATGTAGTAAAATAGAAGGTTCTAATGTACGGTTCACCGTCGATTTTGCAATGTAAGTACTCTATGTATAGAATATGTTGAACCGATTTGGCTGAAAATCGTTGCGGAGGTAGCTGAGAACCAAGCGACGGGCAAAAGCTTTTATCATTTTATATAAAAAGTCAAAATAATTAATATATGTATAAAGAAAAAAAATTTTTTGTTTTCAAATCATAATCATGTAAAAGTCACTTGAATTTTTTTTTAATAAAAAAAAGAACAAAATAACCTCACCCAGCTACTGCCAGAGTACAGTAATTTTTGATTTCATGCATATACATGCGTATGTGTATCTTCGACAACAACGCAATAAGGATATGATACAAGTCCAAGCGAGCTGGGCAGCGGAATTAGATCTGGTTTGTTTATAAGAACATGCTTCTTGTTTATAATAAAAGGGTAATAGATTAGACCTATACAATACTAATATATTAGTTAAAATGCTCTTGCAACATGTCGCTAGTTTTGTTCAACAACGGATACAAACAACCGATTAATTAATTAAGAAATGGGGTTACGTATTGTACATATAGATAATCAGGATGAAAAGACGAGTTGAAATACGGATATATGTATGCCCGGTCATCACGGCAAGCTTGGTACACTTGCTGCTGGAAAAATAGAGAACGAGTTTATAGATGGCGTAATCGGAACACTGTTACGTCCACAAAACACGATTAACCGAAAGTTAATAAAGTTCCCGCTCTCTAATAGGTTGAATGTATATACATGTATCCCAAAATATTCAAGATAATTAGGCTAACCTCCTACAACCAACATTGTAAAAATAGACAAAATTTCACCCCATCCCCACATAACGGTTCTATTAAAAACTACTTAAGGATTTCCAATAAGAAGGATATGATTTCTAAGTGTCGTTTCGAGCATGTGTCATGATCAACAATTTTTTTTCTTGTATTCAGTAATGTTTACAATTTCAACCTGATTCGAAGCGATCTAAGTGTTGTTTATCAGAGTGGAAAAAAATACATATAGTAAATTTAGAAATGAGTTCGAAAATAAATAAACAGACCATTTGTTGCTGCGTGTTATAAGATTTATAGTTTGACATCAGACACTCCTGAGCTAGTCTCTTGGCAGTTAGCAACAAACTGACTAACAGCACCCTCTCAACGCAAAAGTATATCTCCGAAAACCCCAATGAACTCAGATATCCCAAGATTTCGGGAATAAAATGGGTATGGTCGGATAGAGGAGATCCAGATCAAGAATATATATATAGTTATAGCCGCAGGAAGCGGATTCCTGTGGAATACATCAAGAGTGAGCTTGCCAAGCAAGAACAAATAATTTTTCATCTCACTAATGTCAAAAATTATATAACAAAAATACCAATGTCATTATTTTTTATTGGCCTTGTACTCAGCGTTAACAACAAAGAAATTTTTGAGAGCTCTGTCATAGAATTGTATGCTTTGAACCACCAAGACAATGACCTAATCCAGGGGCATAGATGCCAAGATTCATCTGAATGCACTGAATCGAAAGAAACAGCAGTCTTCTGTGGGCACTATGGAGAAGAGCACACTGAATCATGCAAAGGCTGCAAAGTATACAAGCAAACTGCCCAACGATTTTTTTACATTACAATGAATAAACCACCAGTCCAGTAATCAATAAGGAAATCGGTCTACTCTATTCAGTCAAATTATTCTTGGCACTACCTTTGCCAGCTTGTTGCGGAACGGTCCCCAGGTTTCGTCATGTAACCCTTCTTAAACTGTTAATGAGGAATCAACATTGATAAAAATGACAAATGCTTATTCTGCAAATGGTAATGCAGGTGAGTGCTTAATTTTCACAAATGATTGCTCTACTAATGACATCAATTAATCAATGCATGTAAGACCTAAACTTACCTTACGGAATGCCAACGGCATATGCAAAAGCAGGTAGGAAGTTGAACACTATGTCAAAACTAACTCCAACGATGTTCTACTTCTAGCAGAAATTCATTTCAATGATCGGTCATATTTTAAAATAGCAAAGATCTTATAAAATCAAATCACCCTAGTGGCAATGCAAGAAACGGAGCTGCAGTTCTTATGAAATCAGGTATTTCTTACACTGGACTTGAATCTTGGGTTCAGGTAACAATGGTCATCTTGCCCAGCCTTCACGGAAATTTAATGTTAGCTGCCTTATACAATCTGCAGCAGGACAAGTATGTGTAAATTATGAACCAATTTGGTAGTAAATTCATTGCTGATGTGGATTAAATCCAAAAAACTCATGGAGGGGTTCATCGCTCTCAAATCAAAGCCAATGTGTTTGCCACACTCCTCCAAAACACTGAAAAAGAATTTAGTGACGGATCTAGCAATGTGGCAGTCAGCAATTTTTTGAATGTTGTGAAGCGTGCTGAGCTTATTTTAATTCTTAAACAATTGAACCATGTAATAGGGTAGAAGGCTTTATTGCTGATGCTATGGAAATAATAAATACTGCCCTGCCGTGCTCCTTGATATCTGTCTGAAGTCTACCATCTGAGCCTATTATAAAAAGAAGAAAAAAACCTGCCAATGTCTTTTTATTTGCTGCTAAAGTCGCACTCCCACGTTCGCAAGTTCTTCACTAGATACCTCTCTAACACAGAGTACTCGCCCCCTGCGTGTGTATGCAAAAAATATTTGTGTGTTACAATTGATAAGAGACGCGCAGTTGGAAAGATCACGTAAAAATAAAAAGACCTCAGTTAAGATTAAAGTTGGCGCAGCTAAACTGACCTCTTAGGCCAAGATCCCATCTTTGCCAATAAGACAAAGAACAGCTCGATGTAACATTGCTGCCGTTCAGGCAAGTAATGCTGAAGTTATCAATTTGAAGATTTCAAAACGTTCCCAAGGAAAAGCCCCACTCCTTTGAAGAGATGAAGTAAGATCTGGCTGCACGTAGTATCTCAAAAGACAGCAAATAGCGAAGAGAAGAAACGACTGGCAAGCCGTTGGTAGCACAGTTATAACCGAGTAATTGATGTCTACGCCAGTAAAGTAGAAGGTAGGATCCATTACGATTTGGTAAAATCCTTACACTAAATCAATTGTCATGAAGTATAAAGATCTATATAACTTGTCTAGTACCTCGTCAATATTTGTCATTTACAGTGATACTATGTAAGTTGCGGTTAATACTTTTTTTTAAATCACATATTTTATTTGTTTATTTACTACCGCCTTATGCACCTCAAGGTTTTTATAGGATTTAACCTAGATTGGATCTTCATGAATTGTTTCTGCGATTTCTGCGACGAATACTTTCAGAGCTGTAGCGGTTTCGTCCATGCCTCTGCACCATATAGCAAGACGGAAATAATGAGAGACTTATAGAATTTTGTTTTTGTTCGTCGAGAGAGGACTTCGCTTAGTCCGAAGTAGCACCTGTTGGCAAGAGAAATCTCGCGTTGAATTTCGAGACTGAGGTGGTTGTTGGTGTTGATTCTACTAAGAGACGAAATTATCTAAGACTTCAAAATTATGACTGTCAACCGTGGTCGTAATATAAAGACATTTGTTGTTCAAAGTTCAAAGCAAAAGCTACAAAGTCACACCTTGGAGGTAACTCCAATCTGCTCATTGGGTTTGGCCCTTTGTGGAGATTTGTGGTGGCTGTGGTTAAAAGGTTGAAAAAGGTCACACGAAAGAGATCCGCCTTTTCTGGAACCTCGTTTGGTATCGAACGGCTCGGAGAGGTCCTAGCCAATCATGGCAGAGATTTTGGTGTTGCTCAACGTTAGTTTACACAACCGTATTAGTTTTGCGTGGATACCAAATTCAGACATCGCGGCATTAAGGCAGCTCCTTTTCGTGCTGTCTGAAGCAGCTTTGAAATCGAAAAAGAGGCGATGTACTCTACGATGTAGAGGGGGGGGCCTGGCGCTGTTTGCGGAGCCTACCAGGAAGGATGATGACGACATGACCTCCTGCAGCAGCTCTCGCCTGGCGAAAGAGCCTGGTGCCGCTGAAACAGCAACGACCACCGCCAAGACCCCAGCCAAAAGGTGAAGCGGGTCGGACTCGGAAGAGTCACATCGGCAGAGCCCTACGGTGCTCGTAGAAGAGAGAGAGAAGGCGCAGAAGAGGTGGGCAACGCAATCTTCCGGAAGAGGAGGGCGGAAGATTTGCCACTTATGCATAGCATGACAATGTTCATCCCCCGATGCGGGGACAAGTCCTATGAGTTCGCCCTAAGTCTGGTGAAAAGTCAGAATCGGTGCCTCAGCATTTTGTCCTGGCGCGTCGTAAGCAGCAAGATGGAGGAATTAGGAAACATGAAATGTTGGAGACTGGGCAGGCAGTGCCAGCGACAACCACCGACGTACCGGATGTCGGCCAGAGAGCGGAGCTAGTCTCCACGCAAGAACTCCTCGACGGGCTAGTAGACCCATTGGATGGCAGTGCAATGGACTGCGGGGAACAGGATTTGCCCTTCCTCGAACCCATATTATAATGGCTGGCAATGCGGAGATCGCCCAGGTGAACCTGCGTCACATGGCAGCAGCTTCGTCTGTAATAGCGATCCAAGAGCCTTGGGTCCATAGAGGGGAGGTCAAGGGCCTCATAACGGAGTCAAATAAGGTAATCTGGGATCTATCTAGCGAGAGAAC